CAACACTATTGGTAGAGGAGAATGAAGAATGATATAGTTGGGTTTGTAGCTCGGTGTCTCAACTGTCAACAGGTGAAATATGAGCATCAGAGACCGGGTGGCTTGCTTCAGCAGATAGAGATTCCACAGTGGAAGTGGGAGCGGATCATCATGGATTTCGTAGTTGGGCTCCCACGGACTTCGAGGAAGTTCGATGCTATTTGGGTGATTGTGGATCAGTTGACCAAGTCCACGCACTTCAATTCTGTGAGCAGTACCTATTCTTTAGAGCGGTTGGCTGAGATTTACATCAGAGAGATTGTTCGCCTTCATGGAGTGCCAGTTTCCATCATTTCAGACAGAGGCACGCAGTTTACATCATAGATTTGGAGAGTCGTGCAGTGAGAGTTGGGCACTCAGGTTGAGAGCACAACATTTCACCCTCAGACGGATGGACAGTCCGAACGCGCTATTCAGATATTGGAGGACATGCTACGCGCTTGTGTCATCGATTTTGGTGGTTCATAGGACCAGTTTCTTCCACTCGCTGAGTTTGCTTACAACAATAGTTATCAGTCGAGTATTCAGATGGCTCCGTATGAGGCTTTATATGGGAGGCGGTGTAGATCTCTAATGGGTTGGTTTGAGCCGGGTGAGGCTAGGCTTTTGGGTACAGACTTGGTACAGGATGCTTTTTGGACAAGGTGAAAGTGATTCAGGAGCAGCTTCACACGGCGCAGTTAAGACAAAAGAGTTATGCTGACAGAAAGGTCTGTGATGTGTCTTACATGGTTGGGGAGAAGGTGATAACAACACAATAGGGGATTCAAGAATTACTAAAGAAAAACAAGAAAATCAAGAAACATGCGGAAGCTAAAAGAAAATAAAGAAACAAAAAATAAGACGGAAAATTAAAGATAGATTGAATTCAAGAAAGAGTTTCTTGAATTCAAGAAGTCTACTCTTGAAGTTGAATCCTAACAACAACAATTAGCTAACAAAGAACTAATCGCCTATGGTAGAGGATTTAAAACAAGAGATAGATTGTGAAACCCGACCCTTTAGAACAACAAGAACAACAATAAGCCTAAACTTATTACCTTCTTGAATACCTAGAAGTGATCTAAGATTTCGAAAGAGTTTAATCTTACCACCTTAAGTTGAGAGTCTTGAAGGTTGAAGAATAAATTCAAGAGTAGCCACACACAAAAGTGCAAGAAAAATCTCACAATTTTTATTGATAATAGTCTAAGTCTAAAAGCAAAGAAGATACCCCCTTATATAGGGAAGGGGTCACGAAATTCTACCTAATAAAACAAGGAAATAAAGTCCTAAACTACTTTGGACAACAAGTCCAACTACCATAGGAAAAGATTAAACTCTAGGAAACAAATACCAAGTCAATCTTGGAAAGTAATTCCAATAATCTTAGGAAAAGAAAAACAAAACCTTAACTACCTAGTAAAGCATCAAATATGTCCTAAAAAACTAGGAAACAAAATAAGGAACTTTGACTCCTTCTCCTATGTCTTGGTCGCCCCTCCTTGAGCTGACTTGGGCGCCAAGTTGGCTCCTTTTTGAGTTGATTTAGGCACCTAATTTAGGCCCTCCTTTCCTGGACCCCAATCTACCTCCTCTTGTACTTGGACTTGGACCATGAAATGAGTGTAGCACTTAGCTAAATCCTCTCCATAATTCTTGAGCTCTTCTTCCACCATTAGCGCCTTCTTGATCTCCCATTGAAGCCCAACAACCTTGTCTTGCTTCTCCTTAGCTTGAGACCTTGTGAATGGCTTTCTTGGTGCTTCAAAAGCTTTATCCTTTTCCATGAAGCTATCAGAAGGTCTTGCTGAAGGTTTCACCCATGAAGGGTGTTATGAGATTTGGAAAGAAGGGCAAGTTGAGCCCTCGGTTTATTGGGCCGTTTGAGGTGTTTCAGAGGATTGGGAAGGTGGCTTATGAGCTTGATTTGCCACCCAACTTATCGAGTGTGCATCCAGTATTTCATGTTTCTATGCTCCGGAAGTATATCGACGATCCGTCTCATTTCTTGGATTTCAGCACGGTTCAATTGGATGGTGATTTGACTTATGATGTGGAGCCGGTGGCTATTTTGGAGCGTGAGGTATGAAAGTTGAGATAAAAAAATATAGCTTCAGTGAAAGTGCAGTGGAAAGGTCAGCCCGTGGAGGAGGCTACTTGGGAAACCGAGCGGGAGATGCGAAGCAGATATCCACACCTATTTGAGGCTCCAGGTATGTTTCTAGACTCGTTCGAGGACGAACGTTTGTTTAAGAGGGGTAGAATGTAACGACCCGGCCGGTCGTTTCGAGAGTTATAGCCCTGTTCCCCCATTTCCTGCTTCTTTTGTATTCTACAGTTATTTGTGTCTTACCGGGTCAATTGGTTCGGGTCTGGAGTGGTTTTGGAGTGAACTGAGACACTTAGTCTCTTAGGAGAAGGTTTAAGTTGGAAAAGTTGATCGGATATTGACTTATGTGTAAACGATCTCGAATTTTAATCTTGATGATTCCATTAGCTCCGTTAGGTGATTTTGGACTTAGGAGCGTGTTCGGAATGTGATTTGGAGGTCCGTGATAGAATTAGGCTTGAAATGGCGAAAGTTGGAACTTTGGCGATTTTGGCCGGCAGTTGAAATTTTGATATCGGGGTCGGATTGGATTTCCCGAAGTTAGAGTAGCTTCATGGTGTTATTTCTGACTTGGGTGCAAAATTTGAGGTCATTCGGACGTGATATGATATGTTTCGGCGTTGTTTGTGGAATTTGAAACTTTAGAAGTTCTTAGGCTTGAATTCAGGGGTAATTTGATGTTTTGATGTTGTTTAGAGTGATTCGAAGGCTCGACTAATTTCGTCTGTTGAATATGACTTGTTGGTGTATTTGGTTGAGGTCCCGGCAGCCTCGGGTGTATTTCGGATGTTTTCGTAATCACTACAATCCTAATACATAGCAAAAGAAATTAATTTGGTGGCAACCACCTCCAAATGGGTTCTTCAAACTAAATAAGGACGATGCTTATGATGAAAAGAGTAATGCAGGCGGGGGTGGTGGACTTATTCGAAACCACATGGTGATTGGATCATTGGCTACACAAATTACAACCACGCACACTCTGCCACTCATATGAAAATTGTGGCCTTTTAAAATGGTCTAAGGCTGGCACTCAGTAACAACTTAGTTCCCCTTATTGTGGAAACTGATTCACAGGTAATGATTCAACTATTATCGTCTAACAACCTAGCTTTCTCACACATGTTAATGGATTGCAGGCAACCAATGGAGAAGCTGGGCAGCCCACAGGTGTGCCACATATTTAAGGAAGCAAATGATGCAGCAGATAAGCTGGCCTGCTATGGGAAAGGCAGAAATCCAGCCATGGGAAACAATACTTTGATTTTTGTATACCCACCCCCTTTATCCTCAGTGGACCAAAGGAAGTCCTCTATGGAACTTGGACTATACTTTCAGTTATCATTGTGTAATAACTTCCATTTGTGCTATTTAATAAAAGCTTTTTTCAGTAGCAAAAAAGAAGTAAAACATCTATATATAATAAAAGGAGAGGCAAAAGCATATTATTAAGACAAATAACATAACCACAAAAAGTCAAGTGGCATTGTCAAGACAAAATAAACCACCTTTTAAACTACAAAAACCTTTTTAAATTTTGAATTAATTAGTTATTCCATTTGAATTAATAAATATAGATATCTTATAATTAGCTATATTAAAAAATGAAATTATAAAAAAAAAAAAAAAATAACTACCCATTCAAATTGGGGAGTAGTTTCAAATTGGAGCTTTAAAGTTACTTTAAAATAAAAAATGGAAAATAAGAAAAAATTGAATTAGTTACAATAAAAAAGAAAATATTAATTAAAAAAATTACCTATGGGGAATAGTTTCAAGTTGGAGTTTTAAATTATTTTAAAATTAAAACAAAAAATAAGGAAAATTAAATTAGCTACAGTAAAAGACGAAATATTAAAAAATAAAAACAAAAAAAATACCTATTCAAGTTAGGGTGTAATTTTAGTTACTCCCTTTCTAACTAAAAAAAACCTTTGAATTAAATTTTAAATTAATTGGTTACTCTATTTGAATTAATCAATAAAGATATCTTATAATTATCTATAATAAAAATAAGAAAAAACTACACATTAAATTTGGGGAGTAGTTTCAAGTTGGAGTTTTAAATATTTTAAAAATAAAATAGAACAAAAAAATAGCTATAATAAAAAAATGTAAATGTATAATAAAAACTACACATTCAAATTGGGAAGTAGTTTCAAGTTGGTGTTTTAAAAATTATTTTCAAATTAAAAACGAAAATAAAAAAATAAAGAAACTTTCAATTCAAATGAAAAATACAAAATATAACGATACCATGCATATATATATATATATATATATATATATATATATATATATATATATATATATATAACTGACAAAATCTAAAATCTAATCAAATAAATATTACAGTAGAAAGGAATTAAGAAAAGAAGGGGGGGGGGGGAGATAATGTTATAATATTTACATGTTTAATTAATTAAAAAATAAAAGATAAATAAAAAACACTCAAGAAAGTATCAATAGCACTAAGTACTTGCTAATTCAATAATAAAAATAAAAAGGAATCTGCAAACTATATTAACTAACAAAATACAACTACTAATATTTATTAAATTAATATGATATATTATATCATAATTTTATAAAATTAATACTTTGTTAAATTTTCGCGCATCGCACGGGTTCTTATACTAGTTGGGAGTAAAAGGAACGGAAGAAAGAACATGAAAGAAAATAAATTTTATGAAAAAAGAAAATAGAAATAGAAGAACATTTTTTTCCAGGATACCAAAAAACTTGTGTATAAAATATGGTAAGAGATTAATACGTAAAATTATTTTTCTATTCCAAATATATATAGGTTTTTTTCCGTCCAAATATATATGCAGGTAGAGTTTTTCAAACTATTATCCCCTCTCTCCACTCCCATCCCAAACAAAAAAAAAAACATTTCCCCTCTCTCGAACCCTAATCCTGATCACTTTCAATTCTCTGTATTTCTTACTCGCAATTCAAATCTCTTCCTTCTTTCTCTGCATATTTCAATCCGAAAACTTGACTCCTAAATCATTCCCATTCGATTAGGAATTAGCTCTACAGCATGGCGAACAGAGATGCAGACCCCAATCTGGGGTACCTGACTCGAAAAGAAACAGAGGTAAAGCTTCCTAGACCTACACGGGTGAAGAACAAAACCCCAGCTCCAATCCAAATCACCGCCGAGCAAATCCTTCGGGAAGCTAGAGAACGTCAAGAGGCCGAAATCCGACCGCCGAAGCAAAAAATCACTGACCCGACCGAACTCGCCGATTACCGCCTCCGCAAGCGCAAGGAATTCGAAAGCTTAATTAGCCGAGTCCGCTGGAACAAAAGCGTGTGGGTGAAATATGCTAAATGGGAAGAATCACAAAAGGACTTCAAGCGTGCTCGTTCCGTTTGGGAGCGAGCACTTGAGGTCGATTACAGGGATCATACGATGTGGTTGAAGTATGCTGACGTGGAGATGAAGAATAAGTTCGTGAATCATGCTCGTAATGTGTGGGATCGTGCTGTTACCCTCTTGCCTAGGGTTGATCAGTTATGGTACAAGTATATTCACATGGAAGAGATGCTTGGGAATGTAGCTGGCGCAAGGCAGATTTTTGAGAGGTGGATGACATGGATGCCGGACCAGCAAGGGTGGTTAAGTTACATTAAGTTTGAGTTAAGGTATAATGAGGTGGATAGGGCGAGGGCCATTTTCGAGAGATTCGTGCAGTGTCATCCAAAGGTTAGTGCATGGATTAGGTTTGCGAAGTTTGAGTTTAAGAATGGCGAGGTAGCAAGGGCGAGGAATTGTTATGAGAGGGCCGTGGATAAGTTGGCGGACGACGAGGAAGCAGAGCAGCTGTTTGTGGCGTTCGCGGAGTTTGAGGAGAAGTGTAAGGAGACAGAGAGGGCAAGGTGCATTTATAAGTTTGCACTTGATCATATTCCGAAAGGGCGAGCTGAGGATTTGTACAGGAAGTTTGTGGCTTTTGAGAAACAGTATGGTGATAGGGAAGGTATTGAGGATGCTATTGTTGGGAAAAGGAGATTTCAGTATGAGGATGAAGTAAGGAAGAATCCGCGGAACTATGACGCGTGGTTTGATTATCTTCGGTTGGAAGAGAGTGTAGGGAATAAAGAGAGGATTAGAGAGGTTTATGAGAGAGCCATTGCTAACGTTCCTCCTGCTGAAGAGAAGCGGTATTGGCAGCGATACATTTACTTATGGTAAATCTGATAGCTTATGCATTGAATGTGATATTTGAATTCTTTTCTGGATAGCTTAGTATTGCAATTTTGTTTATTCGCTGACTTTGCTCTTTTTAGGATTAATTATGCATTATATGAAGAGCTTGACGCACAAGACATGGAAAGGACCAGAGATGTCTACAGGTAAAATATCATTGTCGCGATTGAAAATGTAGCTATTTAGTTCATTTGGTTGATGAACCATGTTATTTATTATGCTTTATATTTAAAACTGATTGACCTGGATGGAAGGCCAAATGTAGTAATCTAGCATTATCAACAGTGTTTTCCCTTATGTCTAGATTATCTCTTTATTAATTAGAAGGTCTGCAAGGGTTCTGCGGCTTGTCTCGAAATTCTTCCATATTCTCCTATTAATTGCATGGATTAGGTATACTTTACCTTATCAACAAAAAAAAATGCATGGATTAGGTATACTTTACCTTATCAAAAAAAAAAATGCATGGTTTAGGTAATTATTGAAAAGAATTGCATGGTTTAGGTCGTTATGCAATGACAGTAGGAGTGCTGAGTCAAACTGGTAAACCCAGAAGTCCACCTTATAAACATAACTTATCAGTCTTGATTTTGCTCCATTCATTTGTCTTATTCGGCGTTTTAGCATGATGAATGTGCAAGCAATTACATCTACCATTAGTTTCTGGTGTACCGATCGCATTACTAAAGGATCATTACTTGTATTAAATGATCAAAACCATCCAAGGAAGCCTTCCAAGAATCCAACAAATAGCAGCGAGGGTTTATTAGTCAAAATAAGCATCAATAGAGAAAGTGCGCAGAAGCAGCACATCAAGCTAATCACAGTCAAAGTATATAACAATATGCACAAATAGAGCATAGAAGGTGATGCACCCTATCTCGACCAAGCAAGGCTAGGAATGCTACAGTTGAGTTGTGATATGCCTTTTGATGTTTTATACTGTAAACAGGGTAGATTTATCTCTATGAGTTAATACGAGACTAGTTCTTGCACAGTAAACATTTGGGGCAAAACATTTTATTCCTAGGATTCCTCAGCTTGCATTTATCCAGCAGAATTCTTTTTTTGATACGTAGAGTAAAATTTTATTCATGTATCAGCATCAATTGTATGCTGGTATAGTCATCTGAGTACAAAAAAAGTATCGTACATTGTAAAAAAACATGTTGCTCCAAAAAGAAAGTAAGGAAAGTTAAACATAAGAGTAGATACATTCTTCTTTTGTCTTTCATAATTCTCGAGTTCCTCTCTTTTCATATAAACCCCTAAATTGTCCCTGGTATTCTGTTCCAAATTCTTGAATGAACACCCCTCAGAGTCCTTTTAACCTTGCAGCAGCTTCACTGTGCCTCTTGTCATAGTCCACTGTTAACCCAACAACAAAACCCAGTGTAATCCCATAGGTGGGGTCTGGGGAGGGTAATGTGTACGCAGACCTTACCGCTACCTTGTGAAGGCAGAGAGGCTATTTCCGATAGACCCTCGGCTCAAGGAACAGTGAAAATAAAGTAACAAACAGTGGCAACAACAATGCAATAGGAGCAAATGACACAACATGTAATAATAAAGAACCAGGAGTAAGAAAAATACAAAAATAGTACTAGTACTACTGATAAGACTAAGAGACACTGACGGCTACCTGTCAACCTTCCCCCCTAATTCTCGATCTCCATCGTTAACCCAAAATATTGAAAAAAAATGTCCCACAATTGTGACGTAATTTTGCAAAGCAATAAAAAGATAGTTTGTGTCTTCTGGTGCTCTTCACAGAGAGGGCATCTAAACTGCAGATGTTAAAACTTGTTCTTCGTACATTTGGCTGTGTTAGGCATGCACTTTTGCTTACTAACCAAGTGAACACTGAACCTTATAAAGGGCATTGCTTTGCCAAATCTGTTTCAAAGGCCACTTGAGTGCAGCATTCTGTGTATTATGCACAAGTGAGTAACAAGACTTGACTGTAAAAATACCATCCTTGCCTTTCGAATGGATGCTGTCCTTTTGATCTAAACATATGCAGCAGGTTCCAACTGTTGAAGCAAATGTTCTGTCTACTCCCAGATCATTGCAATCCCTTCTAAAAATATTCTGCCAACCACTGTTTGAGTAGTATTTTAGTCACCAGAATTCTTCTCTTGTCTGTATATCCAGTTGATTTCTCTGTCTTCTGGTTGACTCTGTATTGTCGTGAGAATTATGTTGCATGAATTAAGGTCATTCACATTAATTATTACATATTCCTTTCTAATTTTATCAGGGAGTCCTCAAGCTGATTCCTCATCAGATGTTCTCATTCGCAATGATTTGGTTGTTCCAGTAATTCAGTTTGATTCTGATTGTCCTGAATTGTGGGCTAAATGTGGTGATATGGCGGTGCTACATTACTGGTGACAACAAATTAGCTTACAAACTGTTCGGTTCCCCTGTCTCTAGAGCATGTCTTCCTTAGTTATTAGCTTACGGGGTTCTATGGCCTCTTTGAATTTTGAAAATAAACCCACACTATTCGCCTACTAATTGCATGCTTTAGGTAGCTATGATATGACAGTGGGAGTTCTGTAGTCAAACTGTTAAATCCAGAAACTCCTACTTAAAAACATAAAACTTATCAATATGAGCTCTGTCCCATTTAGTTGTTTTCTGCAATGTCTTTTCATAACCAATATGAAAGCAGAATTACATCTGGCATTTGACTGATTCCTTGGATTGATTAATGTTTGGGCGCTAAACTCATTATTAAAAATTCATTAGTTGTATTGTCAAAAAAGAATGGTCATTAGCTGTACTAAACAGTCAAAACTATCAATGAAATCCTCCCAAGAATCTGCAAGGAATAGTACAAGAGTCTACCCCTCTACCCCCCCCCCCCCCCCGGAACAGAAAAAACAAAAGAAAGTATGTGACACATATTTAGGTGTTCTGTGCTGTAAGCTGGTACATTTATCTCTTAGGATATATAGACAAGACCAATTACTTGTATCTCTGTAGCAAGCATTTTAAAGCATTTGATTACAGGGATATCTTTCTTGCATTTAGCTACCTGAATTCCTCTCTTCTCTACACATTTGAAATCTTTACCATCTTCTGTTGATTATCTGTTTCCTAGACCTGTGTTAACATAATTTAAGGTCATTCATGTAATTTCATATGTTACAGATACCTTTTTATTTTATCAGGGAGTGTCTTAAGCTGATTCCTCATCAGAAGTTCTCATTTGCAAAGATTTGGTTGTTGGCTGCTCAGTTTGAGATCCGGCAGTTAAGACTCAAGGAAGCACGGCTGCTACTTGGAGAAGCGATTGGAAGAGCTCCTAAAGACAAGGTATTTCCCCAAACATCTTTATGTGGATTGATTCTTCTTCTGATATTTCTGAGGTATTCCTTTGCATGTAACCTTACCTATATGTGTTGTTTTGTACTAACGTACAGATATTTAAGAAGTACATTGAGATAGAGCTGCATCTTGGAAATATAGACCGTTGTAGAAAGCTTTATGAGAAGTACTTAGAATGGTCACCAGAAAATTGCTATGCTTGGAGCAAATTCGCTGAGTTAGAGAGATCCTTGGATGAAACGGAGCGAGCCAGGGCTATTTTTGAGCTTGCAATTGACCAACCTGCGCTGGATATGCCAGAGTTACTATGGAAGGTATTTATGTTGTTCTACTAGCTGATATGCTTGTGTTTTGTCAATAACTTATTTAGAATGTAATTATCTTCTATTGACTCATGTTCTTGCTTGGTGCTGCTCCTGGGACTCCAGGCAGTCCTATGCTGGATGTTGCCTCTAGCTCATTGTATAAAGATGGATTTCTTTCAGCATAGTTAACTAACTTGGCTTTGATATCAATCCCGGAAAGGGAATCTGCTCTATAGTCACTTGTCTAACTGGAGGTTAGCAGGTCACACCAGCAACATTGGCATTATAAGAAAATTTTTTAGCACCACTTGGTGCTTTGTGTACGTCAAACCCATTTAGATTCCCAATGTCTAAAAATAAGCCTGTCTTTGAAGGGTGCACACGTTTTCTAATTACTGTAGAGGTTTTACCATGGACATCCAGTTGACTCAGCTAACTATCCTGTATGCTGTCCATACTCATGGCTATCATTTTGAAAATCCATGGTCTTTGTTAGTGCCATCAATGCCTGCAACTTATATGATCTGAAATTTCAAGGAAGTCACTAATAGAAGAGTAGTTGTGAAGGAATGTCTGCACTAGGGAAAAACAACTAACTAGTCATGAGTATAGGCTTACCTTTTCTTTGGATGGTAATAAAAATGGGATAGAACTGAATAAGGCATGAAAAGAAACCTAAGCATTTGGAAAATGCTCATCATGTTTTCATATGTGATGCATTTTGGAGACTAATGGACAATAATAGTAAGGAAGGAATTTAGCCTACAAACATTGACGACTTGGGACCGGTGCTGCGCAGCTGCGGATTCATTATTTGTCCAGCGTTCCATGTGTTCCTTGTTCTTTAATGTTTGAATTCTCTCAGATAAATATCATCAGGTTTAGCAAATCTTTGTCAAAACCATTTTTGGACTGACCTTCAGTTTGCTTCCCCCTTATATAAAGAACTAGTATTCTCATCCAGATTTGCTGATCTGGTTTAGGTCAGTAATAAACATTGCCTTTCCAAGTGTATAAGACAATTTAGTTGGAAAACTAACATGCACAACGGTGAAGCTTCCCAGAAGCGTTCCTCTTGAGGAAACTATCTTGTATAGAATGCCTCCAACAGATTGTCTCTCCTGTTATATTTGTAGGCCTTTTTTACTTTTAACTTTTTCACAGTTGATTAAGTGTGGTTCATGACCAAATCATGATATCTGTGCAATTTAGTCTTGGGACATGCATTTACATGGATTCTAACAAGCTACAACTATTGTGCACTTATGATAGGCTTACATCGACTTCGAGATCTTTGAGGGTGAATTTGATAGAACAAGAGCACTGTATGAAAGACTTCTTAACCGCACGAAACACTTGAAGGTGTGGATAAGTTATGCGAATTTTGAGGCCTCGGCTGTGGATTCAGAGGTTGAGGAAGATATTGAACAGAAGAAGAAGCGCCTGCAGCATGCCAGAGGTGAGAAAATGCTATCATTATTAGTTTCTCCGTTAATTTTGAATTTAATGTTGATAATAATTTTGTCTCTTTTTTTGCGAATTTAGATGTTTTTGAAAAGGCCATTACGTACTACCGAACTTCTGCTCCTGAATTGAAAGAAGAACGAGCAATGCTTTTAGAAGAATGGCTGAAAATGGAAAGCGGTTTTGGTGAGCTTGGGGATGTTAACTTAGTCCGTGCAAAGCTACCAAAGAAACTCAAGAAGAGAAGGCAAATAGACATGGAGGATGGTCCAACAGCGTATGTTCTTTTACTATATATTTGTCTATTTCTGATGTGTTTGATCTTTTTCATTGTTTGCCGGCAAAAAGCAGTTGGGGAGACAGAAAATTTTTGGGTGGTCGAGTCCCTGCATGTTAGTTTTACGTTGCAGAAAGAATGAATTCTGCCAAAGCTGTTTGCATATATGGCAAAGCGTAGTTTGTTTTTAGTCTGCATTCCTTTATGTAACTTGATAAGTCATCACTCCCAATTTATTAGTACTTGAATTAGCAAATTGCTGCAAGGAATAACTTTGTTTTGTACTGTTTGTAATGACGGTTCTAAATTTTTGCAGGTACGAGGAGTATATCGATTATCTTTTTCCCGAGGAAACGCAAACCACCAACCTCAAGATCTTGGAAGCTGCTTATAAATGGAAGAAGCAGCGCGTTGCATCAGAAGAGGATTAGTATCTTCTCTGTTAGCTTCCATTTGATTTTCTTAAATGTGGCTAGCACATTTGTCTTTTTTCCCCCCTTCTGTTTTGTACTAATTGTTGGGTAAAAGTAAGAAAAAAAAGAGATGAGAGTGTTGACATTTATACCTCTCTATCTCAAAAAATCTAATTTGGCATTGTTGTGCAGTCAAATCCAATGTTGTGGACTGACACGGAGAGTTCCAGTTTTGGTCTTGACATTGTTTAGCTGTATTTAGTGTTTTCCATATTTATGATGTATAAATTATATATCAAATGTAATTTTCTATCTTGAACATTTCCTGATATTGCCTTTTTGGTAGCATAAGATAGTATTTCATTTGCCTAATTTCATTTCTCGTGGGATAATTAATTTCCTTAATGCTTGCAAATAGTGTCATATGTCTTCCTAATGCCGCATTATTTGGTTGAATAAGTATTTTGGAACGTCTTAAATTTGTGGTTGAGTTTTTTCATAAGAAATAAATTAGCTAGAGTTCTGTTTAGCCCAACACGCGGAAAGTTCCGGCATAATATACTGGAGACTGAAGCACCTCTTATGAACTTTAGACCGGTATATTACACTGGAATTCCAGTATATTATGCTGGAGTTCCATATACTTATGCTGGAACTCCATTATAATATTGCAGAGTTTTAATATACTTATGCTGGAAGTTCCAGTATACTTATGCTGGAGTATTTTTCCGGATTTTGAACAGTGTTTTCGTTCAGATTTATCTTTATTGAAAAGTGGCTAAATTTCGATTACTTTTGAAACTGTGGCTATTTTTGATTGACCACTTGTAAATGTGGCTATTTTTGAATTTCGAAATTCAAAAATAGCCAGATTTACAAGTGGTCATTCAAAAATAGTCATTCAAAAGTAATTGAAATTTAGCCACTTTTCATGTAAAGATAAATCTGAACGAAAATATTATTCAAAATCTGGAGTAATACTCCAGTATAATATACTGGAATTCTAGTATAATATACTGGCATAAGTATACTGGAACTCCAGCAGTATAATATATCGGTCCAGCATAATATACTGGAGATTTAAGCACCGGTGCTTCAATCTCCAGTATATATATTGGAACTTTCCGCGTGTTGGAGTTCCAGCATAATATGCTGGAAGTTCATATACTATATAACACATATTGAACACCCTTTACTGGAACCCCCTGAACTATATCCCCCTTTAGAATAAAACCATCCCGTCTCATTCTTACCAGTGCGTATGATACACACTCTAAATAAATTATAAAACCTGCCATGTGGCATGCCACGTGGATAATTAATTACTTTGATCTTAAAACGGACTTAACTAGCCTACAATAATCTAATTAAGTTGTAATTTATTTTGAGTGGCTTTTAAGTTAGTAGTCGGTCATTTACTCTTTCTATTCAGTAAACAAATTTCACTCTCATCCGAGAAGAACTCTCATCGGACCACCTTCGATTTCTCTTCTTTAAAAATTAGGGTTTAAGAATATCTTCCTCAAATTGTTGCTAGTTGCTACCATCAATTTCTCTTCTTATTGTGTTGCTGCTATTTCGAATTGGGAGTAAAGGTAGGGTTTTGCTAGTGAAAAAAAAATTAGGGCTTAGGGTACTGAAGATTCATTAGTTCTGAAGACTGTTTGAAGATTTTGAAGATTATTAAAGAAGATTGCTTCAATACAGGTTTTATTCTTTATTCCCCATTAATTTTGTTGTGAAATTATGATAGGTAGGAGCTGCGATTTTATTCGTAGTAGAAAAATTTGGGTCTTTTTTTGAGGTGTTATATCTTTCTGCTTGTCGATGTTTGTTTGTCGAATATATAGTTGCATGCATGCTGCTTGTTGTTTGTTTTAGATTTCGGGTCTTTTTATGTTAGATTAATAAGGTATTTTTATTTTTTTTTGCCTTATTCTTTGCTGTTTTTTATTGTTATTTTATGGTAATGGCAGACAAATATCTGAATTTGAGATTTCATATTGGTGATATTCTTGTGAGTGAGGCAAGGTCACTTTATGTTGGGGGGAACATTGAATATGCCTTTAATGTGGATACGAACAAACTGTCTATTCCAGAAATTGTTGATTATGCCAAGGATTTTGGGTTTGCCAATGTAGGAAAAATGTATATTGTATCTTCTAAGGGTGGCAGTTTGGTAGAATTGAGAAAAGATAGGGATTTGTTGGTACTTGCTGAGTTGTTAAGTAATAAGGATACAATAGATATTTACGTATGCCATAAGGGAGATAATGTGGTCCAGAATAGCCATGTGACTAGTGTGGTCGTTGAAGAATCTTCTAGTAGGGTTGTTGAAAGTTTCAATACACCTTTAGGTTAACAGTCAGATGTTGTAGAAAAACTTCGTAGAAACTCCTTTGTAGATGAAGATGATTCTGACATAGAAGATGAAGACTTAGAGGAAGATGACATAGGTAATGTTGCAGATAGTGATAAATCTTGCAGTTCTTATGATGAAGAGCATGAGGCTGATTATGGTAGTGATGCATGAAGAGTTGAACATAGTTAAAATAGATTTGAAGGCTTATAAGAAAAAAAAAAAAAGAACACCAAGAAAGAGAGTTGTTGCTGAGTGTTTTCTTGGACCAGTTGGGATAGATCCAGGTTTTGAAGACATAGATAAAGGGAAGAAAAATATTTCTGGTAAGTTAGTTGGTGATGAACCTTTTTATGACAGTTCAGATGCTGATAGTTTTAAGAGTGACAGTACAATGAGAGTGGTAGTGAATTAGGAAACAGAAGTGGTAACATGAAAGCAAGAAAGGAGAACAAGAGGGTAATGTATGATCCAAAATTGGAAAAGGTGGTTTGGCAACTTAACATGGTCTTTTGAAAATGTATATAAGTTTAGGGAATATATCACCAGATATGCAATAGAAAGAGGTTGTGAGCTCGAGAAGATTACAAATGATAAAAACAGAGTTAGGATACAATGCAAAACTAGCGGATGCCCTTGGTTGTTGTTTGCAAGCAGAGAGCCCAAGTCTGTTGATTTCATTATCAGAACTTATAATCCTAGGCATAACTGCAACAAGACCAACACAAATTCAATGTGCAATACCAAGTATCTTGCAAAGTACTATAGAAGTAGGATAATTCCACAGCCGTGCATAAAGGGTTGGGAGATGCAAGATTTGGCAAGGGAGGATTTAGGTTTATATGTTGGGAAAAAAATTTATTTGAAGGCTAGGAAACAAGTATTGAAAGAAGTGATGGGTGATAATGTGAAGGAGTTTGGCAGGATTTATAATTATAGATATGTGCTTCTTCAATCAAATCCAGGGAGTACATGTGTGGTAAAAGTGACAGATTCTGAAGATGAGAAAAAATTATTTCACTCCTTCTACATTTGCTTTGCAGCAATGAAAAGGGAATTTATTGAAGGGTGCAGAAAATGTATTGGGTTAGATGGTTGTTTCTTGAAAGGAATATCTAAGGGAGAGCTACTTGTTGCTATTGCAAAGGATGGGAACAATCAAATGTTTCCAATAGCATGGGCTGTAGTTGGGACTGAAAGTAAAGACATATGGTGTTGGTTTATAAGGAAATTGAAGTCTGATTTGGAGAGCAAAGACACATGGTCTGTTAATTTGCATTCTGTGCTGTTACTATTTTTTTTTACTGTTTCTGCTTAATGTTAGAAACTGATTGCTAATCATTTGCATTTAGGTTGGTATAACTTCTGTTATAGGTTATTTCTGTTAGTTGCATCAGTTAGTTGTGTATCAGTTGTTTGGGATTGTTAGCTTAAGTTAGCTGATTGGGACTATTAGTTCTGATTAGGACTTTTGATTCAGCTAGTTGCATCAGTTGTTTCTGTTAGTTGGTATTAGATTGTATCAACAACCTTACTTATTAGATTGATATTAGTTGGTATTAGATTTTTTCTGTTAGTTCTGTTAGCTGATTGGGACTGTTTCTATTTATGCAAAGGGAATGGCTCACTCACAAAAATCAACCTCTAGAAAGAGATCAAACATTGACTCCCAAGCATCTACCAGTAAGAAGAATGATAAAGCTAAGGGTGGTAAAGGAAGAAGCAATAGCAACATGGTGCAGAACTCACAAAACTCAGATGTGCAACAATCTCAAGTTTCAGATGTCCAGCATTCTCAAGTTTCAGATGTGCTACAATCTCAAGCAAGTAATAAAGTTGCTCTTACTGCATTTAAGAGGCCAAGAGTATTGGGACATGGAGTATTTGTCAGCAAAAGTGGCTATACATGTGTTGAGGTAATTAGCAGTCTGTTGTGCTAGTTTTGAGGTTGCAAGTTAAATTTTATTGTTTGATATATGTTCTTTTAACTTAATTTTGCAGCAAGGGAGGCCTGTTAGTAGGGTAATCGACAGTGGAAAGAACAATGGAGCAGTTGCAAGTTCAGCTGTAGTGACTGGTGATCTTGGTTATAAACCAAGTAAAGGCCTGAAATGGAAGGAAAAGCAAGCAATCACAACTACACAACTTCAACATAGAAGTATTTTACTACAGTATTTAAGGTCAAAATCACCAAAAGCTAATGAAAAAATTGGAGGTTTTTGAGCTTCAACACTACTCTATTGGGAACTGTTGTATGCCGATACTTTGATTGTCTTTTGGATAATATTTTTGCGGTGCAAGTTATGATGTAAACTAGTAAAACTTGTTTTACTTCTATGCTTGTGGGATGTATTGTAAAACTAGTTAATTCTAGGCCTTTGAGCTCTAATACTATGTGTTATTTCTAGCTTTCCTTGTGGTTGTACAACAAAAACTTTCAAGTGTTATTTCTAGCTTTGTATAGGCAGGTCGTCGTGTTTTTAATTCTGCGGAAAAGATCAAACTTGAGTGTAAGAATAACAGCAATGACAGTACACTTCCTAGCATTTGAAAAAAAGCAACAACCAAGGAAATAACACCAATGACAGTACACTTCCTAGCATTTGAGACAAGTTCTATGTCCAACACGGTTGGCTTTGGAAGCAACCAAGTATCAGATTACACTTTCTAGCATTTGAAACAACAGCAACAACCAAGTTTCAGATTACACAACACTTCCTAGCATTTGAACAACCAAAAATACACATTGAAACATATACTAATAATAAGCAGCATCTTCAAATTTTTCTTCTTCTTCAATTCAGCCTCAAGTTCCATTTTATCCTTCTGTAAGCCAAGAATTATCACCTTCGATTGGCCAGGAAATTCCGGATCATACCACTGGAAAAATCCACAAGCCACACGACCCTTAGCATGAAAATTTTAACCAAACTGTTATAAATAAAAGCAAAATTTATCCATATTATACAACAACAACAACAACCCAGTAAAATCCTACCAGTGGGGCCTAGGGAGAGTAGAGTGTACGCAGACCTTACCCCTACCCAAGAGGGGGTAGAGAGGTTGTTTCTAGGAGACCCTCGGCTTAGAGACAATAGATCTGTGACAACAAAACCCGAAAAATAATATCAGCAACGTGAGAGACAGCAAATAAATGGGAAAGCATTAACACAAATATTATGCAAAAGTGTGAAACACAACATAAATTGCTAGCAGAGCTAGACAAAACACTATCATACTCGTCGGTACAAAGAGGAAAACCGCTCAACTACCCTTTAACCAACAACTCTAGTGCTCGACCTCCACACCTTCCTATCAAGAGCCATGTCCTCGGAAATCTGAAGTCGCGCCATGTCCTGTCTGATCACCACGCCCCAATACTTCTTAGGCCGCCCTCTACCTCTTCTCGTACCTTCCAAAGCCAACCGATCACACCTCCTAACAGGGGCATCTAGGCTTCTCCTCTGCACGTGTCCGAACCATCTAAGTCGCGCTTCCCGCATCTTGTCATCCATCGGAGCCACGCCCACCCTCTCCCGATTATCTTCATTCCTAATCTTATCCAGCCTAGTGTGCCCACACATCCATCTCAACATCCTCATTTCTGCTACTTTCATCTTCTGGATATGTGAATTCTTGACTGGCCAACACTCATCCCCATACAACATGGCCGGTCTAACCACCGCTCTATAGAACTTACCTTTGAGTTTCGGTGGCACATTCTTGTCACACAGGAGTCTAGACGCTAACCTCCATTTCGTCCACCCCACCCCAATACGGTACGTAACATCCCCGTCGATCTCCTCATCTCCCTGGATAATTGACCCTAAGTACTTAAGACTTTCTCTCTCAAGGATGACCTGTGAGTCAAGCCTGACTTCTACATCCGCTTCCCTCGTCACGTTGCTGAACTTACATTCCACATATTCCGTCTTAGTCCTACTCAACTTGAAACCTTTAGACTCCAGGGCCTGCCTCCATACCTCCAGTCTCCCATTAACTCCGCCTCGCGTCTCATCAATCAGAACTATATCATCAGCGAACAACATACACCATGGCACCTCTCCTTGGATATAGTGTGTCAGTGCGTCCATCGCCAGGGCAAATAAGAACGGGCTAAGCGCAGATCCTTGGTGTAACCCCATAACCACCGGAAAAGGCTCTGAGTCACCTCCCACAGTCCTAACCCAAGTCATAGCTCCTTCATACATATCCTTTATCGCCCTAATGTAAGCCACCGGCACACCTTTCACCTCCAGACATCTCCAAAGAACGTCCCTGGGGACCTTGTCATACGCCTTCTCTAGGTCAATAAACACCATATGCAAATCCCTCTTCCTATCCTTGTATTGTTCCACCAACCCCTGATAAGGTGGATAGCTTCTGTAGTAGAACGACCCGACATAAAACCGAACTGGTTTGTCGATATAGACACCTCCCTCCTTATCCTCCCTTCCACCACCCTCTCCCAAACTTTCATGGTATGACTTAGCAACTTGATACCCCTATAGTTGTTACTATTCTGGATATCACCTTTGTTCTTGTACACCTGAACCATTGTACTCCACTGCTACTCATCAGGCATCCTCTTCGTTTTGAAGATAACATTAAACAACCCAGTCAGCCACTCCAGGCCTGCTCTACCCGCATATCTCCAAAACTCTACTGGAATCTCATCTGGTCCGGTCGCTTTGTGCCGACTCATTTTACCCATCGCACCCACGACCTCCTCAACCTTAATGCGCCTACAATACCTGAAGTCGTGGTGGCTCTCGGAGTGCCCTAATTTCCCTAACACGATGTTTTCATCCCCCTCTTCATTCAGAAGTCTATGAAAGTATGACTCATCTTTGCCTAATCTGGGTCTCTTCCATCAATACTCGGCCGTCCTCGTCTTTAATGCACCTCACTTGATCGAGGTCGCGAGCCTTCTTCTCTCTCACTTTGGCCAACCGAAATAACTTCTTGTCCCACCTTTTCCCCCAAGTTCCTCATATAGCCGACCAAATATAGCAGTCTTAGCCTCTGTGACCGCTAATTTTGCCTCCTTCCTAGCCTCCTTATATCTTTCTCTGTTCGCTCTCCTCTGATCCTCGTCGGAGCTCTCTACTAACTTAATGTAAGCCGTTTTCTTGGCTTCCACTTTACCTTGGACCACGTCATTCTACCACCAGTCGCCTCGGTGCCCGCCAGAGTAATCTTTCGAAACGCCCAACACCTCTCTCGCTACCTCCCTTATACAGTCTGTCGTCGCTGTCCACATTGCGCTAGCGTCCCTACCACTCTTCCAGGCACCCATAGTTGTCAGCCGCCCCTCCAACTCCCTTGCATTTAAAATATGATGATATGAAAGATGATTACCCCATAGTACTTGCATCCAAAAAAACGTCTTCCTGGGTTAGCATTTGTCGTTGATGTTCTCAAAGAAGCAGGTTGCCCACAACCACAAAATACATTAAACCTCATGACTCTTTTACAATGGGTATTCTTCTTTCAAATAAATTTAGGTAACAATGAAGGATGCATAAAATGAGAAGGATAAAAGATAAACTCAATAAACAGAGAGAGAATTTCAAATGGATTAAGATGAAGAAAGAGAGAAGGGTGAAGAAATGGTGAAGAAAGGTGAAGAAATGGAGAAGAAAGGTGAAATAATGGAGAAGATGGTGTAATATAAAGAAAAATGGGATAAAATATAAGTTTTTTTTTTTAAATAAATGGCTAATTAGTCGTGATTCAAGCTGTCAGGTGGGCCCCTTTTTAGGCTGATTTTTACCTTTCACGCGCTCTTGCGCAACTTATTTCACACAATATGCCAGATAAGCGACCGGGGGGGGTGGGGGGGTGGGAAGCGACCGGGGGGGGGGGGGGGGGTTTATTATGAAGGAGGATATAGTTCAGGAGGTTTTCGGGGACACTCGATAGTTTAGGTAGGAAACTAACAAAGATCGTATAGTTTAGGCGGGTTTGAGGGTATTAACTCATGAAAGAATTATGAGGTTCAAGAAGAAGGGCAAGCTTAGCCCAAAGTCGAAGTCTATTGCTTCTTAAGAAATGTTGAACGATTTAGGACCCGTTTGGCCATAGATTTTGCCAAAACAAATTTGGATTTTATTTGGCAAACACATGTTTGGCCATTGATTTTGGCTACATTTTGGCAAAATCCCAAATGCCAAAACCAGCTCTATTGGGCCAAAATATCACTATTACATTTTATAAAAATTGCCCCAAACTTTTATATTTTATAAAAGAGCCCACCATTTATTATTTTGTAACAATGTTGCTTTTTCTTCTCGGTCATCTGATAGTGTATCATGTAGTTCATTATAAAAATGATAATTTGTACCAAATTTATTTATGTTCAGGACTATGATTTGCGATAATATAATGAATGTTATTGATAATGATATTGTTGGGTATTTGTGATAGTTTTTAGAACTTGTGAGTATAAGCCACGTTTCATGACTTTCCAAAATAAATTTGGGAAATATGTTTTGAAAACTGATGTCCAAACACATTTTCATCTTCAAACCAAACTTCACCCAAATCAAATTTTTCAAAACAAATTTGGGAATCTATGACCAAACGCTAGCTTAGTATAGTGAAAACTAGCTATGCCACTACAGTTGTTTGTCGTACATCAAGCATTCCTTGTGCATCTGATTAGCAGGGAAATTTTGTGCATACTATCGTTAGCAGGGAAATTTTGTGCATACTATCGTCAATCCATCAACTTTTACTGTAAAGTGTACCGCCAATACCAAGAATAACTGACGACTTCTACCTACCAAAGACTTGAATAGGAAAAATCTAGCATAAGCCCCATGTACTTTTCAGATCAAGAGGAAACTAAAATCTGATCATTAAGAAAATGAGGAGGGGAGCTTTGGAACAACGGTAAAGTTGTCTCCGTTGACCTATAGGTCACGGGTTCGAGCCGTGGAATCAGTCACTAATACTTGCATCAGAGTAGGCTGCCTACATCACACCTCTTGAACTACGGGCCTTCCTCGGACCCTGCATGAATGCAAGATGCTTTGTGCATGGGGCTTCCTTGCCGCTTGATGTAAAATGAAATGATAGTGATGTATTTAGGACATAATTTTACACGTCAAAAATCTGTTCTATTAGCACAAGCAGTTAAAATTCTATTCCACTAGACAAGCAAGATACCCAGTAGTCTAAATTACAAGAATTATGAGAATTCAACATCACAATTCACACTCTGTCTCCACCAGGGATTAACTTCTTTTCTCAGTGGTCCCTTCTGTGTTCC